CAGATAAATATGACACTTTCTATGAACTGCAGCCAGCTCRCCAAAGCAGCGGGTGATTAATGACAGGAAAACCATGGCCTCGGTTCACTTCTCTGCCGATCATCGCTGYGGGTACGCGCAGCATTTCCCTTTAATCCCTCACGAAAGAGATCTGCTGAGCCTAACTTACGCCCAGAAATCCATGGCCTGTGCAATCAGCTGGGTTGCTCGCTTCTCCCAACAGCAGCAGTGTGAAGACRAGAAGTAAACAGGAGCTTATGCTCATACCAAGGCTGGCCGTTCTGCAGCAAGGGCGGGCGGGCGCTTGCCTGCCTTCTGACTCAGAGTTTCCAGACTAAAATCTTCTGGTTGTGCATTAAAAGTAGCAAATGTCAAAATTAACCTTTAAATGCTGTGTTTTAGAAGAGGGAAAATTTTTACTTTAGAAAAAGCATCTGTTTTTGTGACAAACCGGATGATGGCCTTGCAGTTGAAATGGAGGCAGGGAGGGGGATTTTTTCTAATTTAACAGGCACTCTTGTAATAACCACCCTCTCACTTAAAATTTCAAGTGGACATCTCCCATGTGCAAAGGTACCACGTATTTCTGCTTTTTAATCTCAAGCAAGGACTTTTCTTGCCTGCCTTTGTATTCGCCCAGCCAACTCACAGCCAAGRAAAAGCACGCAGTGCTTTGCCAAGACAACATTCCTTCAAATGACTAGCTCTTTCCTCTGCAGTTATTAATGTGTCACATATCACAGGCTCAGAATGTCTAGTTTTATGGGAAAATCTACTAGAAGGAGAGAAAAATAAAGGAAACTTCCAGGGAAATTGATTAAAAGGAAATAAGATATTTGACCCAATTTAGTGGAACAAACTACCGTCAATAATAGAAACCATTTAAATTCCTCAGATGGACACTCTGTTCTTAAGTAATAAGTTTTGGTTTGTTTGTTTTTGTTTTTACCACTTTGGAATATCTATTATAAGAACAAGATTTTGGAATCCTTCTCTTTCTTGTGCCAAGAGCAATCGTTTACATTTTAAGGGATTCACGAGCATAGTTTAGTAGCAGCAAACACGTACTATATAACACAAGAACTGTGAAACGCTTTGGAGAGGATTAACCAAGATCCATTAAACTGAAACCCTTGCAGTGCTCCCCCTTCTCTGCCTTATGGAGGTTTCAGTGAAGGAGCAGAAACAGGGTGACAGAGCAGTGGAACAGGCTGCCCAGGGAGGTTGTGGAGTCTCCTACTCTGGTGGTCTTCAAAACCCGCCTGGATGCCACCCTGTGCCACGTGCTGTAGGTGTGCCTGCTTGAGCAGGAAGGTTGGACTAKATGATCTGTAGAGGTCCCTTCCAACCTTAAATATTCTGTGAAACAGGACCTCAGCCATCAGTCATTCGCCAASAAATGAGCTCCTGCTCATCATGAAAGGTAAATCAAAGCAAATAAACAGAGCTAATATTACAGAAATTGTTTGAACGGTCCCCAAATAACGGGCATATCAGTAAATTCCGAAACTCTCCAGGGTTATGCCCCAACTGGACTGTTATTAAAGAGGTTGAGCTAAAGGGACAAGTTAGCTCAGTAACACTTCACGTGTGCAGGGGGGTGCTGGGCTAAGCAAGGTGCTGCTGCAGGGACCCGTTGCGGGTCCCAGTGATACCCAGCGTAGCAGCCACTGCTGTTGCACAGCCTTGTTGTAACACCCAGGGAAGGGTCCTCCTCACCTTTCCAGCAGTGTTTCTTTACCCTACCTAAAAGACAGGCTGCTGCAGTTATCAGAGCACTCGCAAATGCCTTGGTCTCCCCAACAGCCTCGGAATGAATCAGCTGGCAAGAGGAGGGAAGAGCTGCTGAACATGCAGGCACATCTGGACACAAGAGCCGTTCTGAGGCAGAACCCATCRTTTAACAACACACCACCTCCTCGGTCCTCCCCCACAGCTGCCTGGGGAGGAACCCGCTGCGGATGATTCTCCAAACCTGTGAAATCCCCTCCTGAAAGCTGTCAAGGGCTGCATGTGACACAGATGAGGTGCAGGTGGAGCRCCCCGCGAGCAGCAGAGGCTTCACAGTTCTTGCTTCACTGCAGCTAACGAGCTGCTGACACYGGTGGGAGCTCCTGCCCGGCACCGGCTCCTGCTGGGGAGAGYGTGTTGGGAACAACGGGGCTCCCGGCGGGGCCGCACGCTGGGGTAAGCGGCAGGTTATCGTAAACCTGCTACTGACTCTGCCCACGGGCGCTATTAACAGCTACCTGGCAGGAGGGAGCTTATGGATGAGGTCCTTGGGGGCAAGGAGTCCCAAATGGCTGTGTTAAAAAGAAAATAATCACAGAAGGAAAAGCAAACAAAGAAAAAATGAGCACCGTGGTGGTACAAGGATGTGGGGGGCCAAGCAGATGACGTTGCAGAGCCCCAGCCTGTCTCCTCCTTCAACATCAGCGCTAGCCAGGGGACTTTAGAGCTCCTTTCAACTCGGATAAGTTGAAATATGCAGACTGTCCTGCAGACACTTAGACTCACCATCTATAGTGTGATCCAACCTGTATATCTAATGCTGCTGAATCAACCTATGTTATTAAGCAGCTTCCCAGAACGGGGCTGGGATGAAAAACTGGTACTAAAATGTATAGGCACGGCTAATATGTAATGCACATTGCAAATGGAATAGGCTTTTTCTTTGGATTATTACATACTCTACTTCTATGAGTTCCATAAGAGATAGCCTTAAAAAACATCCCTGCAAGATTACTGGTATATCCGCTTTCCAAAAGATAAAACTTTCATTTCTTCTTAGTGAATAAATGCATTTTTCCCCCCCTCTTAGGAACTTTATTGTCTGCTATGCAACCAACATTTTAATATTTTCTATTTAATTCCAATAATCTTATACGTAAGCTACTTAAATCAGTACCTCTACTTGTGGCTTTTTAGGCCTGTCAAGACCCATCAAAGTGAACAAATCCTTAGAATAAGCGCTCAGGCATCTTAAAGAAACTGTTGCAAACAGCAATCATTGCTCAGACAAATTAAAAGTGTATGTGCAATTTGGAAAATGAAGTCTCCTCATTTGGACTCAGCAGTGACCAGGCTTCTGCTTTCTCTTTGACGACGGGCACTAATATAATGTGTCATTTTGGAAGGTCCTTAGAAATGCCTGGCAAAGTCTTTCAGAAAGAACTAATTGCTCTTCCTTGCAGGAGAGTTCAAATAACCGGGCTATGAGCAGCGGGGCTCGCTGCATAACCACGTAACCAACAGACCATCACCCTTTGCCCTGGGCTTATTTCGCTGTTCAGTAGAGTGAATGCAAGAGCTACCCTGGAATTATGCCACCCAAATAACTCCCAGTTTTGGGCAGGAGGAAGCAGTTTTCACTAGGAAAAGAAACCGTGGGGTCAACTGGTGATCCTTTGCTGCAATTTCTTTTCTATCCACAGAAGTTGCAGTTTATCAAACGTTTCCTTTAGCTGATGGGCCTTTGTTTGAGSTGGGACAGGTGCCTGTTCGGGGTGGAGGCTCCTATTGTTACAACCATCTGGTTCCATAAAGGACCATAGCTGTTTCCTATGGAGAAAGGAGGTGGCTACTCCCCCTATTCTCTTTTCTCCCTCTTGGTGCCAGTTTTCATCCAGCTGGTGAAACACTTGGRTAGTTGGTATCTTTTCACACAAGTTAGCATGGGATCATACCTGTCCATCATCCTCTCTCTAGTCCTGCCCTGTTTATCCATTTCTACTGTTCTTTTCAAAGCCAACACCAGTAATTCATAGTAGTTATTTTCTCTTGATTTCCCATCTATAACTGGCTCCTCTGTTACTGTAACTAGTTGCTAGTTAAGCAGAGCCTACCTCTCAATAAATAAAACTTGCACACGGGAAGCTCTTCAGTGACTTTCCTTGCATGATACATGGCAAGATAGGCTCTGCTAAAGGGGATGAGTCATTCAGGGAGAGGGAAACTGTTCATTTTGTATTTGTGAAATCCCCAAACCACTGAAAAGGCACCATTTACCAACAAAAAGCATCACAGGATGCACATAAACCAGAAAAGTGGGTGGAGCCCTTCAAGAAATGACTGTGACTTTGGGGCACCTAGCAGGAAGCCTCTCTTTCTCAGGATCCAGTACGTTAGAGTGAGTGGGAGGTGCAGGTTTCTCAGTTTACGCGCTTGCAGGATTCGCCCCAGGAATCAAAACTGCAAGCTGCTTCTGTCCCCCAGGGGAATGCCAGAATAACTGGGGCTCTCCCTGCTTCAGCTGCAGCCTCCTGAGCTGCACACCCCTCTGAGCTGTTATCTAGAAAAACCACCTGGATGAGCCTCCTAACAAGCCTCTTCATTTCATCTGTGCTGCTGGCACAGTTCAGATCAGAGGATGGTGGTCACTCCTTAGAAAGGAAGGATTGGCCACAATGATGGGAACTGGTCCAGGCTTGAATTTCAAGCATCCTAACACCTGCAGGCTTGTGGATAACACCTTCTTACACAGCTCCTAAAAAAATCTCTGTCTAGAAGGCAGACAGAACACTGCACCCACGCAGAGTGCACACCCGTATACACACAGCCACCACTCTTACAGAAGACCTCCTAGCCACAAGGATCCATCAGGAACAAACTAACAAACAACATGTTCACGAGCTCTGAAATGCCTTGCTGTCCTCCCAAGGTCCAAGCGTGCTTGAAGGAATCCACATCCTACGAAAGCTTCCTTCTGTCCACAGCACACACCAGGCAGTCAGACTCTGCTGCACGACCAGGACTCTGTTCCACCTTCACTTGAACCTCTGGGCCATCCTGTAGTCTTAAGTGGCGATTCATGTGCCAGAAAAAGATGCTCAATGAAGTTCTCCTGGATCATACCAAGCCATCCAGCAACACAACATCAGAGAATCTTGCATTTTGCTTATTTGAYCCCTACGTGGACATGGTTTTTATTCCCTCCGTGCCAGGTTGGAGCATCATTATTGCAATAGCCAGGATACAAGCAAATCTCAGGGAATACTTACAGCACTCGATGGGGTTGGATGCCGCTTGCAGGGAAATGATTCTGCCGCTGGACTCGGGGATGTGCACGCGGAAGACGAGGCGGACGCGCGTGTTCTTCCGGCCGATGTCCGTCTCTCCCTTGCGCAGCTCGATGTCCGCGTTCCTCAGCTTCAAAATCCCTGCACAGTCAATGCTGCCAAGCACAGATGCCACTTAGAGCAGGCACAGTTTAACAGGCCTCCAAATCAACTACTGCATGGATGCCAGTCAAGAGGACTGCATTTCCCTAGGAGTGATTTTCCTGAGGACTAAGTTGGCTTATGAGGAGCTCCAAAGTCTCRTTCCCTTTAGGATACTGATATTGCCATTTGAATACATCACAGAGCAAGAAAAACAAAACAGGCTCTCGGGCTCAGCAAAGGATGCCCCAGGGAAGCGAGGCTGCTGCCAGACCTCTCCTGCAAATGGTCCTGGCCAGATGTCTCGGCACGTCCCAGACGTGTCCCAGCCCGCAGCAGGGCAAGAACTAGGGTCTAAGCAACACTCCAGCAATGGTGCAACAATAACTGTTGCTGGATGGATACTACCAAGTGTTTTGATATATACACTATTTTTGCTTCATCATTAAGAAGCAAAATAACTTCTTAGGAGGCATAAACCCCACCGTTTTCTACAGCCACACTGTGCCTGCCACTGTGCATGTGCTRGGGTTTATTATTCTAGGTTACTCATTAGGAACAGACACTTACTAGTGTCTGGCTTTAGTGCTTGGCTGCTCAAGCTTGAGATGTGCACTATTATTTATTTCCTTGGTCACAGGGGGATTGAGATGCTCGAATGAAAGGGATAAATGAGGTACTTATTCTGAAAAAAAATATATATGAAAATCTGGATTTTGTGATGAAGCAGAGGGTTTAAAAACATAGCTCTGCCAATTTTTTATGTATCCTCTGAAGGACAGAGATATAGTTCTTCCCTCAACAGAGCAATCACTCTGAAGCTGCCTGGAATATATTCAAGCCTGAAGATTCAGACTGGTGCCCACTTCATCCCTCTGCCTCCATAAAACTTAAAGAAATAATACAGAAAATATGTGCCTGTACTTGCTTTCGGTTGATATATTACAGTGGGAGATGCTATGATTTCATGGCCAGAGCAACTTGGTCGAGTTCAGATGTGCTCTATTAAATGCCCTAAAATAAAATGCACACCTCCACTGCCTACTGGTCCTTGCAAGAGCCTTGCTCTTTCTCACTGTATCACTGCAGCAGAAAAYACAAATGATTACAATACAGTCACTGCTGTAATTACAATAAATAGGAAATAAAACCACTTACGGGGTCAGCTGATGAGTGGTAACTCTTTAATCCAGCTTTAATCCCGCTTCTCTGCTCATATTTAAGAAAAAAAAAAAGCCTTAAATTTATCTATCATCCCAATGTGTTGGAGAGTTCCTCCAGAGCACAGCAAACATCTTTATTCGTTTAAGTAAGTCCTCTCTGTGGGAGGAACTTTGCATGCCAATTTAATCCTCCTCAACTTTGCTAATAATAATTTTAAAATTGCTTACGTTGCTTTCATGTTGTTTTTGGGTTCCAGTGGGATCTCTAAAACTTTGGTGTTGCCAATGATTTTTTCATAGCTGGTGGTGGTGACAGTTTTTCCCGTAATGCGATGGACTTGGTAGAACGCATGGGGCTTAAGTATCCGTTCGTCCGCTGTCCCAATGAAGATCTGAAGACCCAAGGGTTTGTTCTCCATGTAGCCGTGAAGCTGACAAGAGATCAAAAATAAGGTATCACACACAGGCCTTGCAACATCCCCATATCAAACTATCAAAAAGTTCTAAAAAAAYGTGCATATGGATAAGTAGACATATATGAAGACATGCTTAATACTAAAACCAGCCTCATTTCTACTCTCTGAGACAGATTTCCTCTTTAAGAGCATTTGCTGGAGTACATGGTACACATGGAAGGTAGCTAATGAAAACATGTTATTAAGTGCTATAATATTAAATACACCAAGAAGAAAAGAATTCCAGATTTGAGTTCTCCATCACTAGAAATTCATTGTTGGTCTCCAAAATGGATTGATATTTTTGAGCATGTTTGTGTAATTTGCTGTGACTTTTCCCAGTTGGGTGGATGAAGTCGAGAACAGGAGGTGACTCCTGGCACCTGGGGCAATGCTCCCTGTTCTGGCTGGTAGGAAACGCAGTAAGCAGTGAATGAAGTGTCCTTCTGCTGGCACCACTGCCACGTATGCAACATACACCCATACGCTTTGATGTTACGGATCTGCACAGACCTGCACAGGAGCTTAACAAAGCTAATGGAAAAGGCCCATTGACTTCAGCTGGCTTTTGGCCAGGCCCTATGTGCTGTCCAGCTTGCAAACACGTATCTAGCTCACATTCCAGCTAACACTCACTAAAAGGGTTTTGTCCCAGCTCAGCTTCTGATTTCTACTGCAACTGAAGTTAAAAAAAACACCTTTTTTTTCCTCCCAAGCTAAAAGTCTCTAGAAAAATGTGCCCATGTTTTCTGAGAACTGAAATGCTAAGCTATGTATAAACGTTTCAGAAATTAATAATTCCTGCAATATCCTTTTCCCTGACCTCAGCACGTGCGGTCTTGGCTGCTCACACCCCCTCCAAACCCCGTTGGAAGGATCCCAAGCCCTCGCTCTGCTCAAGACACCCCTTGCTTGACATCCCTGCAGTGCCTCTGTCTCCTCATCGCAGACATCCAGCTGTCCTCGTCCTCAAGCTCTTCTCTTCACCCTCCCATCTCTCATTTTCTACTCAGTTATCCACATTTATTCTCCAGCTTCCCAAATCCATCACCAAATACCAACATCAGGTTCTTAAACACTCACAGCACAGAGTTTCCTGCCATTCTGCCTCATCCCCAAGGGAGGATCTTCGCTTACATCTCCACCCACCCCTTCTTCAACACACTTCAATAGTCTTGAAAAGAACGGATATGTTCTTGTTCTCTCGAAGCCACTTGTGCACCGGGGCTGATTCACTGCTCCCTGAGCCTCATCCTTCCTGCCTGCAGCCGACCTGCAGCCGTTGGGCTTGCATTGCACCACTTTGCACTACAGCCTACACAGGTAGAGGGATGGTTTCCTTCTGGAGTTGTACAGTACCCGGCACCAAGAGTCCTCATGGCTGGGGCCACTACAGTTCAAGGAAATAAAAGCACAAAAGAGTCTATTTTATAAAGAGTAGTTGCTGCTGGAGAAGCACACAAAGCCAGAATCCCTGCAAAGGCCAGGAGATGAGGAAATATCTTTTTCTTTATTAACATTCAAAATTACAAATCAAACCATTCTAAATTTCTCACATAACCAAAAATTAGAAACAGACATTTATCTACCGCATAGCCAGTGATCTAGCTGAAAGGGAACTTATGGTCTGAGACATGCTAAATTTGTTTTCAATTACTCTGTCCGCAAACAAAGCTTGATGAAGCCATACAAAGCAAATAGTACGGGGAGATCAGAGAAAAGAACGATTAGGCTAATAGSAGTCATGGTCAAACCTTTTTTTCCTCTTTTCTTTTCACCAGTCAGCAGGAGGTATCTTAGCATAGAAGGGCTAATTCCCCCCGGAAGGGACCCACATGCAGCATCCCTGCAATGCGGGCAGCCTCCTCCAGCCCGGTGCATGCAGAGCAGCCCGTGTGTTTGCAAGACGYGCAAAGCCCGGCTCAGTGCCCCAGGGACCCTGCAACCCAAGGGCCCGAGCTGCAGCMTGCACCACGTGGATCGCTCCACCGAAGATTTAATAAGGGATGTGTATGAAAGAACAGTCCAATCCAGGCCACTTGTATTGTGGATCCTTAGGGCTCCAYGAGCTCTTCAGGAGATTATTAATACTCAAAGTAGGGTAAGAAGCTCTGAGCAGACATGCAAGTTGGCTCTAAGAGCRAGACGGAGGAGGAGCAGAGCTGGACACCAAGCACAAGGGATGACACAAGGAAAGGAGCTTTGCCAAGACTGTGATAAATACAGTGGTAGCCATAAGGAAATCAAGAAATGTAAGGAGGGAGGCTGAAAGCCAGAAGAGGAAGGATGACAGATAGGTCTGTCAGGAACAGCATGAATGTAGGGATCACCCCTTGCTCGGCAGCATGCTAAGCCCGCTTCCTTGGAGAGCCATGCTGACGTTCATCCCAAGCGTGGTACTTCCAACATCCAAGATTTCCTGACCTTCAGGGAAAAGCCAGTGCCTGACAAAGGCCATATTTCCTTTAAAGGGGAAAGGGAGGAGAGAGGAGCACCCTTCAACACAGAGCGTGTTTATCCTCATGCCGGACAAATAAATGTGCATGGGTGCAGCTAAGGTGAGGAGAGGATCCTTCACACCAGAACACTTACCACAGCAAAACAGCACTCCCTCTGCCCTGGCAAGGCAAAAATCCYCCAATTATAGGTGGGAGACGGGAATGAGAAAATCAGATAATAAATTATGAAAGCAAATCTGCCCCCAGTGAGCACATAGTCAGTAGCGGCTGTACCAGAGCCAGCTCCGCGCTCAGCTTTTAGTCCTGGCCACCTTTAAAAGTAATTTGCAGTAGTGGTTTTGCTCGTGTATAGAATGAGCTCCCAAGGTAAAACTATTCATGGTCTTCTAATAATATCTATGTCTGTGGGCGTGGGTCTGTATAAACACATGCATATTTAAAGGAGAAAGGAATTGGCTGCCCGCTCATACAGCGATGTTCGTACCACCTGCTGGACTAGGGGGTATAAAACACGCAGTACAGGAGCATCTGGTGCTTCAAAGGACCTGATTTTAAATCTTGTGTTTGATCAGCACAAGCAAGAAAATTAATTGTTAATTTAGGGCATCATGGGATGACATCACTAGAAAACCAAAATAGTGTTATAAATGCAAATAGAATAAGAAGAAAGATATATATGTGAGGGTTAGGCAGAGAGGCTTAGAGAGTCTGTCCATATCTTTAATAAAATGTTTACATTTTGCATTTAAAGGACTAATATAGATGATGATTCACCATAAGCATTTCTGTGAAACTTTCACATTATAAGGACACACAAGGCCAACTTGGGAGCGCAAAATGAAGGTGGGAGCCTGCAGAACTGCTCCAGACCAGTGTAAACAGCATCCTAMCCCAGCTCTGCCACGGATCTACTGCACAGCTTTGGTCAGGTCACTTAATCTACGCCGTTTATTTGGACTACATGGGAGCTTCATCAGCGATGAGACCAGAGGAGCAACCCAGGACTAGGGTGTTCTCTGTTTTTTTTCACCTTTCTTTTAGTGATGGAAAAGGGGGGGGGAAAGCCTTTAGATTTCAGTTTCAAGACWGTGAGAATCAAGAAAGATTTATGAATCGAGAGCCCTGGAAGGAAGTATTTGTGTGCATTATAAGGTGAGCTATTCACAATAAGACYCCCCCAAATTGTATACAAATCATGCTGGAAAAAAACCAACTCCTTTGAGTCACATTTGCCATACAGGGAAAGAGAAGCCAGACATGATGTGTACCTTTCCATACGCTATTTTGGGATTTTAAGATCCCATTTCTTTCAGTCAAAAGATTTTTCTTAAAACTTTGCTTTTGCATTACTCTTGCAATATTAACATAGCCAGACATGGGCTGGTCTGTGACCTGAGGAAATGCAAAGCATTTTGGCAGATAAACAAATAACATCATTCAGAAAACAAGGAGGCTTTTCTTGTTTGGTCTGCTGCTGCGATTGGGTTTCTAAACAAAATGGAAATTTGTGGCAAGATTAAAATCATTGGTTCACCTCTGCAAAAACAAAATTCATTCATTCTGTACTACCCTGACCAGTACCAGTTACATTTGGGAGAAGGGGTTAAAGGCACATGTTATTGCACAGAATAGCATATGTATAAAATTCTCCACGTATTAAAAAAAGAGCAAATGCCACTAGTGCTGCCTATTAGCCATCCCATCATGCAGCTACTGTGACTCTACGGCAATTGAGACCATGCTTAGGGCATGTGAAAGGCAACAGTTTTTTTCCTGAACTGTTTTAAATCTCTGTTTTTTTACAAATGGAGACCTCAGCTCCAAACACATGGAGTACTTAAAGAGGGAATTTGAAATTCAGTCCCTGTCCTGGAATTCAGATGAACCAAACTGCTGCATCTGCACAGTCTGCATGGCCTCTGGCTGCGGGGATTTAAAAACACAGGATCATCTTTACTGCACYGTGTAAAGAGCAAATCCTTGTGCAAAAGTGACGCTTGCAACATTGCTAACTTATGCTATTAAACAACTGAATGGTAAACTAGCAAAGAAGGCAGAGAGAGGCTTTTTTTTAAGCAGATTTTGCAGGTAGTCACCTACAGATGCAACGTTATGTATGCAGAAAAGGAATCAGAGAGAGCTTTGAAACACAGACCTTTGGACCTTGGACAAATTACTCAAGTGTAAACACTATGTATTTTACATAGATTATTATTATTAGCATGAGGTAGGAGGATTCCCAGTGGGTAGTGCGTCACCAGTGCGCCCCATCTGCTTCACCTTGCTTCCTACTCGTGTTGCAAACTGCTGCATTTGCATCTTTAAATGCCGTATTTCAGAGCTAAATTTTCCTTTGGGTTTCTAGCTTGGGCATTGCACAGAGCAAAGCGAGAGACCCRGCTTGTGTGCTAATGGTGAGGAGCTTTGCAAGACTAAAGCTGGAGCACTCGCAAATCCTACGGACACCTTTGAAGAGCCACGGAGAAAACTTCACCCTCTGCGATACGGAGGTTGGCT